GTGTACAATACAACAGTTTCCAACCAACACACAATCAGAATCCATAACCCTCGGCACAAGAAAGGCTTGAGAGTTGTATAGCAAAACGTAGGAGGAGTGGCGGCTCGCGTAGACGCAGTCTTTGTTGCTGTTCAGTTCATTATTCAATTTCCGAAGATCTGTGGCTCCTTCGCCTTCTTACCGCCAAGTCGCATATTCTATCCATAAAGACGCGCTGTAAAGTCTCATATTCATCTAGTCTATACGCTGTATGGTTAGTCTAGCCCGCTCGCCTCACTAGTCCCGCGCTCTTGCGCGGCAGCAGCCTCTGGGACCCGTCTAAAGGTCTGTGGATTTTGCGTGCAGCCGCACGTGGTACTAGGAATAACATCCCAGAGGCACTGTTCAGACTGGATAGCTTAACGTAGACCAACTGTTCTGACGAGTTGTATGTGCAAGGCGCCAGAAGAACCAAGCGCAGCAGTAAATGTCTGTTTTCCGGGACAATGAGACGGTGAATAATCTGCTCCATAATGGATCCTGTTGGTCTTCTCGCATGTCTGCGGATTCGCTTCCAGGAGGAGGGTCGAGAACCAAGATCTTATATAAGTTTCGCGACCAGATTATCTAAGAGACCATCCTTTCATTTCATCATGAATAATCAAAGCTCCTCGAACGACCAGTACTTCTACCACTACATGCCCAACCAGGCCAATGATTGGGAGACCCCTCAGCAATTCGTGGTGCCTTCCGATCCTCCTCGCACTCGTACAAGAAATCAAGAAATACACCCTACTGAATTTTATATATCTCCTGAGGCCGTTTCTCCTGTATCTATCCGTCCTTATCAGCCACAAATGCAAATGGGACACTTGCCTCCTATACCCGGGCCAAGCAACCCTATCCAAGCTTCATATATCCATCCTTATGTTCCCACTTCTCCTCTTTCCTACTCTGGGTATATTCAAGTGGGCTCTCCTAATAATGGTACCCTCGTTGCTGCGTCTCCAACTTCCTCGACGGGCACGTCATCAAGTCAAGGCCACAATTCGACATCAAAGAGGCCAAAACCTGTGCATAGATGCAAGATTTGCGGAAAGGAGTACGACAAACCTAATCGTGCGCAAACTTGTGAAAACCGCCATGAAGACAACAGACTATATATCTGTAATGGTGATTGCGGAGTGCACTCATGGTGAGTATCTAATAAGTGATATAGTGATACGGTGAATAACGTGAGGCCAAATTTGAAGCCGCTCTAGTTATTGCTCTAAAGACCTTCTCAGGAGGCACATCCAACGTACCCAAGCCACCTGCAGATACTGGTGAGTTCTTCTGAGGTGCAATTTCATCGCCATTTTGAACATATTCTACAGCAGAAAGGAAATACTATCGCAAAACCTTTCCAGGCATATGGGGAATTGCTCTCGCAAGTCACAACCATCCCATGCTTGAGAATGAGGCGTTCCGGAATATCTTTTCAACTCGTGGTTATCTATCTTCCTCTGGCACAATTTTCGTTATTCATGGTTATTTTATATCCATTGGGCTTTTTTGATGTTTTTTGTACAACTCTACGGGTTATTTAGGTTTGATATTTGAATGGGACTTTATTATGGGCCAACTAGGAAGGAGGTCAAGATTAGTTGGTTTGTTTTCTCTTTGTCGCGCGCCACAGCTTTGAGTTCCTCAACGTAATACTCGGCTATAGTTTGGCCTTGGTTATTGTTCACAAATATCAGTACCACTAAAAAATCGTATGTCAAATTTTCAATGCAATGACCTCTGGTAAACTTGGTCCCCAGCTCTTGCCAGCCCTTCAAACCCAACCGGATTTGCTCTACTAGACATTTTCAGTATAAAAGGCGAAACTTAGTCTATTATGCAGAATGACAATCCATTGGAGAGCATCTTGAACCTTCAATTGTCTTCCGATGCTCTGGCCGTCCTTTATTTACCGTCCCTCCTACAAACTTTATCGCCAAACTATTTTCTGGCCTCGGCAGATAGCGCTTTCCGACAAGACAAGTTCACATCGGATGGATCCACTTCGGTATTGAGTATAGCTCAACTAGGGAAATGGACGAATAGAATCACATCCCTCCTGCAGTCCAAAGACCCCAGTGCACGATGGACCGGCATCTGTTTGGCGAAGAAGACATGTGAGCTGAGAAGGGATATTATGATAGAATTCAGTCAAAGGTGGATCAATCTAACTCTGCCGCTGCTTTCTGTGAGTACATTTTTACCCATCAGGCCTTTTTTCATGGGTATGAATAACAATGCGGATTTGATAGAAATCGGAACCAGTCGCTGTCTGGAACGCTGCAATAGACCTACTTGTTTATGTGTTCACCAAGAATATCCACCTTCCCGAGTTCAGACGTCAAGTCTCTACTCCAACGGTACCCAAATTCAGTGCCGCATTATTAGAACTCGTTCAAAAGGGGGACACATCTCTAAAAGTAAGCCAATTATCGGGGTCGTCATTTTACTGATGAAGGGCCGACCTCATTCTCAGTCCCTATGTCTCTCTTCGCTCTCAGTATTAGTTACAAAATTCCCCACATTGCATCGAACCCTCAATGCTCAAATCCAATCATCCACTATGTCGCTACTTGCGGGCTCATTTCCTGTCACTCAACCGACATCGATTACGTACGCAGCGGCTCATCTGCTGGCCTCTATGCATCATATAGATGGAAAGGTTGGAGCGCCCATTGCCTGGAGAGACATTATGGAGAGTGCGCTTTACGAAGCATGGAAATGCCTAGCAGAACTGCAGAGTAGTATGCTTAATAGTAAGTAAGCCATTGTTTTGGGTATGAGCCGGACTTTAATGATACCGAAGATATATCCCCTCCCTTCACTCCTAAAAAGCCATTCAATTTTGTGCCGTTTCCAAATGACCCTCTTCCAGCTGTCCATGTCTGTTTGGATCGTCTTCGAAATATGATTGGAGTCATTGATGCGTTCTTCCGGTTAGAATCAACGTACTTTCAATGGAAATACTAATATTGCAAGCAGAATCAATCCTTCCCGTGCTGTTCTTGTACCTTTGGCCGACTTGGCAACTTTCACGATTCAGCTGCTTCGAACAACAGAACTACCTCAACTTCCACAATCAGACCTCACCCGCTATCAGCTTGAAAAGCAAGTAAACCCTCGTTTGGTCGAATTAGGTGCGACCATGTCCACAATACTGGCCACAAGGTACGATAAATTCCCTATGCAAGCTCTAGAATCGATTTGACATTGTTCAAGTGTCAGGCAGAACCTTATCCCTCATTCAACCTCTATCCTTACATGCTTCGCTTTCCACCTTGAACGCACCTCATCCAAGTATGCACGTATGTCTTTGCAAAGGTCGACATCACTCATAAAACAAAAGTTATTGTTATCAGGCTCATTTATTGAAGTCTCTTCAAGTCGTCCTCGATCACGCCACCTCACACTCATCCCTACTTCCAGCCCGTCTCTTCCGAGCAGTCGTCCCTTTTCTCTCCGTTTTGTTACCCAAGAAAAGAGCGATCGTCTCTTCAGGGAGCCAGGCGACTTCCTTGAATGGGACTAATGCACAAGAAGGAGGGAAAAAATCCAAGGGCAAGAACAGGGCAAAGAATCTGCAAGGAGAAGAGGTCTTGAGCTTGGTGGAAGAAGGAATATCATCGAGACTTTCAACTCGGGAGGAGCTGGATGTTGTTCTTTATGCATTAGATGGTAAGTTGGTCCTTTTGTCCGAGCTCTTATTAATCCTTACCTCTTTTCTGTCCAGTATTCCAAAGAATATTGAGAATGCCATTTTTATCGGCATCCCTCTACTCAATAGGGACACGCCTTGTTCTTGCTCTCCACCTTCAACTTACTGGACAACCACCGCCGACTGAAGTAGATTTCGGCTCTCATAAAGCAAGCGTAGATACTGTTTTCCATAGCCAGCTACAAGCCAAACTCATTGATATTCAAAGCGAGTTGTGCTTGGGTACTTCCGGATATGCTTGGAGAGGCATGGGTGTCTCGGTGGATATATTGCTCAAAGCAGATGAGGAAACGATGGTCTCTAGTGCTACAAAGTCTAGTATTCGACTTATCGATGCCCTACTTCATCCTCGATTACCCCCCTCGTCGAGACCACTACTGAAGCCGGAAAGCCTGATGCTATTCCGCGAAGATGAATCGAAGGAAGAGCGAGATGAAAGAGTTGGCTTGCGTCTGGAGGATGACATGGAGATTAATTACGAAGTGGATACAGAAGCAAGGAGAAGGATATCGACCGGACAGGATATTGCGATGCAAGACGAAAGGGTGCAAACTGGCCAAGAAACTCTTGATATATCGGGTGGTACGATCATCCGAATTGAAGAAAGTCCTACTGTTCCAAATCTTGTCGTGTCCAAAGAGCTTTCTCAAACTTCAATGGTTCAACAGGTTGACCATCAGGCGGTTGAAACCTCTCAACATTCGCAGCAGCAGAACCTAATGGATATGTCGGAGCTGTCTGAACCAACAAACGATTTTATACGAACGTCATTTACCTCAAAGCCGCCTATCTCGGTTGCTCAGTCAGGCGACAAGACTATAATGGCAAACCAGTCCACATCAGTGATGGTGTCCAAGAATGACACTGACGAGCCAGCTCAGGAGGCACCCTCTTGGAAACTGTCGAAGACAATGGACTCAGACTCTGACGAAGATATTCCTTCAATCAACATGAGTTCTGACTCAGAATAGGTCGAATCATCACAAAAGTACAGTTACAGTATCTTTATGTAACCTAAATCTTACAATCACGAGCCAACATCCCCATAATACCTGGTATAAGACCATATAAGCGCTTAATCGCCTTCTTTGTCCGTGGAAGATTCGCTCATTGAAGCATCCTCATCCTCACTCAGATCTGGAGGCAATCTTCCGAGAGATGACGAGCCGGTATGAGTCGAATCGTCAGAGTCGAACACGGCCCGTGCTTGTTCCTCAGCAGCTCTAGCGGAAATCTTGTCCATCTCACTTTTCTTCATGAGCTTATCGACAGCCCATGATAGATAACCTTCTCTACCCGTTGTCGGTCGAGCACTGCCGGAGGACCCGGCACTTTGTGTGGGTATAGGTATATCGTATAACTTTCTTAGTGCATCTAGGAATTCTCCCAAGGGTTTTGTTGCTAAAAGTGAATATATATGAGTATCAAACATCACTTGTTTGAGCTCACACGTACCTTGCTCCGATTCCGATGCAGTAGCCTGAACAAAGCTGATACTCTGCAATAGCTTCTCCGCCTTTCTCCTATTAGCAGCCGCCTGAGCTTCACTACGTCGTATTCTAGCGTATTGTCTTCTCATCTGAAAAGTTGGTCGTCATTCAGCCTGTGTAGGACACATCTTGAAATAAAATTACAATACTTACATTATCCAACTTTCTTCTTAATGTCTCCACTTCTATCTGAAGGTCTCTTTCCCGTTCCAATGGAATTTCCAAGTCGAGCCCTTTCTGATGCGGCGCCACAATTGGGAGGTTTGGTTCCACGACAAAGATGTTTCGATGAGACCATGCTTCAAAGAAATCAAACGCCAAGTCTGCATAATTTTCCAATAGAGTTTGCAGTGCATGCATTCCCTAGATCATTCCCGACGCCAACATCAAGACGCGCAGCGAATCAGCTATCATTGACGCGTAACATTCCATATTACCGGTTACTCACGTGGTCAAGGTCCTTTCTTAGATGTTCAACGTCTTCTCCGGCTTTCTCCTTCTCGTCAACCCAGTTGTTCAGGAATTCCTCCACTCGCGCTGTCGACTCGTAAATCGTCTCATTCACACTGCTCATGAGTTCATCGAGTAAAAGTTGAGGGTGATAACCAAGTAGTTCTGTGGCAAGCATTGGATGAGCCTTGGCTTCCTGTGAAGTCGACATGATGATGGCCAAACTTGAAAACGCGAACTTCAACTCCGACTCGTTCTACATGGCCGCTCGAACTCGCGCTAGATGGCCATGGTACGCATTGGGTAAATACTTGGAAATGGACCGAGAAAAAGTGCTAACGTCGAGATGTAGCTATATGTCTTTTGGAAATGCCGAGTCTCGTTTCAATTCGACAAGTGTCTGGTTCCAGCATGAAGGTTCGAGAGCTTCAGCTTTTATGCAAAATCTAACTTCAAGCAGCCTACTCTGAACCCAGATACTTCGACGAATCACGACTATGTTTTAGTCGATAAAACACCTGTGACAATTTGGAACTATCGGACAATTAAAAGAGGCGACATTGTTTCTATACGGTACGCAAATGTCTTGCATCATAACCTTTACTAAACCAGTCTATAGCTCCATTGAAGACCCAAAGCAAATCATTGTCAAACGAGTCGTGGGATTACCAGGGGATCAAGTAAATATTACACTAGTGATACAACATTTATCTTACATAAACTTTAGATTATGAAACGAGACTCCAAGTTGAACGAGGAAATTTTGATTCCAGAAGGACGAATGTGGGTAGAAGGTGAAGGCGTCCGACTGCATGTGTTCCAGGCCGCTAACTCGCCCATCAGGAGACGAGTCGTTCCGATCGCATGATAGTCAATCGTATGGTGTGGTTCCTCTGGGATGTATCCAGGGGAGAGTGACGGCCATTATCTGGCCGTTGAACAGAATTGGATTTTTATCCCACGCGAAGCGGGATTTGACGTCCCCAAATCGAAACCGTTAAACACAGACATTTAATATGTCTGCGGTTCTCTCTTTCTTCCAGCACTAGCAACCCCCTGTCCTGCATGAGGTTGCCTGCCGCTTAGAGCTCTTCCTCTTCAGCCCAGCTTGCCATGGTGTCCATCCTAATCCCTGCAACCCGACGACGATGTATGATGAGCTCCTTGACCTCAAGTGTAGTCGTCCTTTGAGGGACCGGTCGAGCAGAGGACGCCTTGTGCATCTCATCTGTCCAATACTTGCCCCAAACTTGTTTCTCCTTTCGATCGACCAAGTCATCGATGGTGTGAATCGGGCTGTCCATGGCTGAACCTGGTTCGTCAAAATAGTCTTCAAATACGGAGGGGTACCGGTACAAGGTGCCACGGCCCGATGTTGTTGGCCCTTTCTTCATGGTCGGCCTGGAAATGGTTTCCACTTCGGTAGAAAAATAGTCCTCTACCGGTGTCGCACAAAAGAGCTGTCCTTCTGGAGAGTGTGGTGCGGAATCGCTGGCGTTAGCGGGCTCGTCATAGGAAGGCCTGCCCCCACTCGAACCAGATCCAGATCCGTGCTTTCGGACACCTCTTCTCCGCTTGAGGCCCGCACCCTTTGGGCTATCGAGCGTTGGAGAGCGTGTTCCTTGATTGGAAGCTTGTAACTTTGGCCTTGGCTTTGGTCTTGTGGAAGAGCTCTCCTTGGGAGAGGGGAGGCCCTGTTTCGGCTTGGCCCACAATGGGGTAACCTGTTTTTTGAGTGCCGGCGATGTTTTTGCGGGTCTTGAAGGGTTGGCAATGACGGCAAAGGAGCGGTTATGACCCGTGCCAGAGGATATGACCCTTATGTTGGCATTATTCGTGATATTGATGGGACTACGGCTGCTTGCAGCCTTGGAGTCGCCGTTCTTATTATTTGGTCGGTAGTTGGTTTGTAGGATAGTCATGATGTTGGTCACCTCCAGGGTGTGGGTAGAGTACAAAGTTGAGAAGAGAGAAGTGGGGCTTTGGAGTCGTAGTGAAGTGTAATATGAAGGAGTGCGTTTTTATCCCTGTAGTCTAGAAACGAATGCAGTGAACTGGGCGCTGATCTGCTACGGCGTCTCCTGCGTCACTGCATAGAGCCGCTGAACTGGCCAGTGGCAATGCCGGTCGGTGAGAATGCGCGACTCAGGCCTAGTCAAAGTCCGATCAATAGGAGGAATAATCTCAAAAATAGAATAATGAATATTCGAATACATTTTGCAGTGAAGATCATTTGTGCAAGCGCGCGGGCGCGATATACGCTACATACATACACTAGTATAGATCACTAAAACACGTTGAATTTTCTGTTTACATGTACATATCATCTGGGAAATTTCCTGGACCACCACGTCCTGGGGGCATAAATTCGTCGTTATCTGGGTCGCCCGAGAACGGACCACCGCGTGGTTGAGGACCTCTGCCTCCAGGGCCAGGAAGGCGTCCAATCCCACCGCCGATGCCTTGGAGAGGACCGATCGGGTCGAATCGTGCGCCTGGAGGTGCGCCCAAAGGCGGTAAAAACCCATCACCTCCCCAAGGACCACTACCACTTCGACCAGGCTGACCTCCGATACCCGCCCCGCCGCGTGGTCCAAACATGGGATGACCGGGTCCAACGTACATTCCTCCTCCTGGAACGAGAGGTTGGAGGGGCGATTTTCCTGCGAAAGGATTCGCGAATGGGTCTAGATCGCTTCGTCCGACTTCCAACGGGTTATCTTGTCTGTTGGGAAGATTGTAAGGTTGATGCAGGGGAGGTGGTTGAGTTTGGTTCTCGTCTCTCAGGCGCGACCGCTCCGGTCTCTCTTCCGAGGGTGGTAGACTGGGGGGAAATAAAGTCAATTCACCGGTAAACGCAGAAAATATACGGGTACTCACGAGCTAGATGAGTCTTCCCGCGGTTCATAGTTGAGGTCTGGGAGCAAGGGTCGGAGGACGTCTTTGATGTATTTTGTGATAAACTCTGCCATTCGATCGGAGGAGACATAACCATGGACGAGATCAGAAGCAGTTCGTTCTTGCCCATCTGTTGAACTGAAGAAGGTAGGTGAGACGTATTCATTCGTGGTAATGTCCAACGAGGATGTGTCTTCCTTCTATACAAGGACTGTGAGTGACGCATTCTCACCGGATAAACAACGAGTCAATTAATGACGCTTACTTGTTCGAGAATGCCATGGATCTGAGACTTGTTGCCTAGTTTGAGAATCTTGACG